GACGAGTATTTTCTTCCTCGTTTCACGATCGATTCAACTTCTGTCACTTTGGTTCTCTTCCACTCTCTGGCAGAGGGTTTAATGTGGTCTTTGGTTTTTGGCGTATATATATAGCAGGGTTAAAGTTTTGCATATATGTATACAACTATATATCGTTGCGGTTTGTGTATGGAGAATACGCAGGTCGAAGGAGGCTATTTATAGCTGTAGAGTGAAGGTTGGGTTTGAGTTTATCAGATCGGTTCATTAAGCTTAAGTTTCGGAGTTGAGGTTTTATCCGATTTGCTCCGCAACGCGTAGTTCGTTCGTAGTTCTTATCACTTCCCGAGTGTGCTATTACTTGTATGCAAAGTATTATTATTAATATCCCGTACTAGATATATTTGATTTTTTTTTAAGTTTGAAAAGTCAAACTCCCTTTTATTCTTGCTACGTACTCCGTATATAGTATTAATTTAATTGTGCTTGGCACTATATAGTACATCCGTGTATTTATATGCATGTACTCTTAATGTATAAGGTATTGTTTTTGTACTTACCAATCTTAACCCATTTTTTTAGTGTACAATTATCACCCATATAAAAATGTTACGTTTATTATCCCAGCCAAAAAGTGATCTGGTCAACTCAATTACAAATGCTAATTTTCTAACATTTTACATTTGTAACATTTTATCTAATTAAAATTATTCATTTTTTTTTATTTAAGATTTTCGAAGTGTCACATTCTACCCTCCTTAAAAGAAGTGTCACACCGGGCCCCAAACATCAGTATAAATTAAATCTAGAGGTCCCGAGCTTGTAAGAGACGAATGAGCAAATGGTAATTTATGACTTTTATTACTAGCACACGAGACACATACAGAAAAATCAGTTGCAACATTGGGAAAAGAAATACCTAAGGAATAGAGAATTTTTTTAGTGATAGGGAGGGCAGGATGTCCTAAACGACAGTGCCATTTATTAAGGGAATTTTTTTGTGTGACGTGAACAGAAGGAGATGATGTAGGTGTGGCATCAGGCAAGCTGTAGACGTCTCCATTATTCATACCCCGTAACAAAATTGCTCCCGTTCGCCGATCCTTGATAAGACAAAAAGAGGAATGAAATTCAATTAGTACGTCATTATCACGACATAATTTGGAGACAGAAATTAAATTGGTATGAATAGAAGGGACAAAAAGAGTATTAGGTAAGGAGAGGGAGTGAAGGGTCATATGCCCAACTTGTGCTATCGCAAGACCTTTACCGTTACCAATAATGAGAGAGTCGGTGCCATTATAATCCGATGCCAAGGTAAGGTTGTTCAGGTTGTTGGTGACATGATTAGTTGCTCCAGAGTCAAGTAACCAGCCATTGTGATTAGTGACAGCTGTGTTAACTTGAGGAGGATAAGCCTGCTGTTCAAACCGATGCCAACAATTAAGGGCAGAATGGTTCGGTTTTCCACAAATCTGACACATAATATTTACCCCGATGGTGGGATTACCATTCCCGGGGTTATTTCGGCCTGTGGGACCCCCGAAATTATTATTGCCACGTCGGTTGGGCTGATTGTGATTATTGGAGCGCTGGTTCCTGGGCTGATTCCGATTAGAGGTTCTAGGTGGATAACTTGGGCGGGTGGGCTGGTTGTAAACTGGAGCAGATGGTCCAGGGCCCAATATAGACCCTGTATTTGACGGGGCTGGGCTTCTGCGAGTTGCAAGCGCCATCGGCTCCCCTGTAGCAGCGACGTTGGCGGTCACCACAGGGACCGATGATTCCACGGTCTCCTTCCGCCTCAGAGTAGCTTCGAAGCCCGTGAGCAGAGTATAGATAGCACCGAAGCTATTGTCTCCACATGTGCGAATGGAATTCGCAAACGATTGGAGCTCAGGGCTAGTTCGTCGGCGAGAAATTTGAGATGATGAAGATACTCTCCTACCGGTTGGGATCCCTGTCGTGTGTGGCGGAAAATATCCTTCATGTTGCGGATTTGAGATGCGGTACGGGTCCCGTAAAGTTGCTCGAGCGTCTTCCAAACTGCCGCAGATGTACGTGCTGATCCCACCAATGGCTTACACGCTGAACTCAGGGAGGCAATTAGGGCATGGCGGATGAGCCGATCCTGCCTAGTCCACTGGAGATGGCCTTCAGTATCACTTTGCGGCGGCGGGACAACGTCATCTGCGACATACTGGTCAAGTTGAGAGCCGAAGAGTAGGTCCAGGATCTGGTCACGCCAAACAAGGTAATTGGAGCCATCTAGTTTTTCTGGAAAATGACTGGGATTTAGAATTATTACTCCATCTTGGGTGAGGGGTGCGGTAACAGAAGAAGAAGGGGGAGGAGTCTGGCTGATAACAACAATGTTGGGGTCTCCTTGCTGAAGCCTGAAGGAGAACCTCCGGCTGACTAGAACTGTCACCGGTGGTCATGAGGAAGAGGGGGTGGGCTGGTTAGAGCTCAACTGCTCTGATACCATATAGAACCAGAGATAAGAGAAGGATTTTGAATATAATTCATCACGCAAAATACATTACAAGAGCTGCAATTTATACTACAACTAAGTATATCTATATGGTAAGAAATAAAGCTCTCATAAATGAGAGATATATGTAACGGTTCTTCACTAATCAATTACAATATTATGTATTAAATATATTTTATTCCTTTCCTTCAATAGTTCCAAGTGGGGAATCTCATGATGAAGATATTTTGTTTAATAAAAATTCTTATTTTGGTCTCATGTCTGTTAGTATTGCGAATGGTGGCCAACTTTCCATTAAAAATATCGGTGATATTTACATTAAATACTCTCAGCCATCGACTATCATTAAACTCAATTTGTCATGTGCCTCAAATTAAACTAAATTTTTATTCAAAAAATGTGTGTGGATAACAACTGTATTGCTATAATTGATCAAACTTATTTTCTTGTTAATGACAAAATTTCAGGGCGGTTCTTCTTCGGGCACATCATAATGGTTATCTCAAACCTATTCAAATCTAGAAAAACAAAACGAGAGAATTCCCCAAATAGGAGTAAAACATAGGCAAAATGAAAAAATAGGAGTGCCATGTTTTTGAATAGGAGTAACTTTAGTGTTTGGACAAGTATACCCCCACCCAAGCCCCAACAACTTTCATTAATAATTAAAACATAAAAGAAATAACATTAAATAATTTATACGGAGTAATAAAATTGTAAAAAAAATAAAACACACACACACATATATATATTAAATGAAATATATTTCGTATTAAATAAAATAAATAAAAATAAAAAATTATTAAAATAAAAAAAAATTAAATAAAAAAAAACTAAAAAAATTAAAAAAAATTAAAAAATGAAGAAAAAAACATAAAAAAATATGCAGGCGTCTGCCGCCGCCTCAATAACCTCCCTGCACTACAAGCTCCGACCACCGAAAAATGCCAAAATTTTGTCTGAAATGGCATCATGATGGCAGTTTTTGAGAAAATTTGGCATTTTCAAAGAACAAAAATGTCATCTTTACGTCATTTTCAAGTAAAAATGACAGTTTTTACACATAATATCATTTTTTGCCGATTGGAGGTGGCATTGCTGGGTGATGATTGAGGCTGCGGGAAAGGCATGCATACATTTTCATATATTTTTAATGTGGTTTATCTAGTTTTTATTTATTTTTAAAGTTTTTATTTTAAAATAATAATCTTTTTGAAATTTTTATTATTTTAATATTTTTTTAAAGTATTTTAGATTTTTTATATATATTTTAATAGGATCATATAAGTCATATTTTAGAATTAATTACGTTAGGGTTTTAAGGATAGAAAATTAATGTTTACTCTTATTGAAGGAAGTTTTAAGTTTTACTCCTATTTGTGCAATTATGTTTATGTTTACTCCTATATTGGGCAATTTACCATTAAAAAGGTAAAATATTTGGTCATGTTTGGAATAATTTGAAGCAAAATCACAACAGTTTGAAAATATGAAAGATAATAATAGAAGATATTACTTTCTAGTTAATTTGTTCTTAAATATTTCAGATTAATTTATACTCCCTCCATATTAAAATGTTTGCCACACATTTCTTTTTGCGATGTATTTTAATTTTTACAATATTTTTCTTTCTTTTGATAATTTTTCCTTTAAAAAATAATACGGAGTATGTATTCCATTATCGTTACTTTTTCTACTTTTATTCTCTCTTTCATATTTTCCATCCCTCCTATTTTGCAACACTAGTCATAATTTCTACTCCCTTCATTTCTATTTGTTTGACACACTTTTCTTTTTTGGACGTTTCAAAATGAATGTCACACTTCTTTATTTCCTTATTTGGTAAACAAATCTTTACCTAAACAGTGCAAAACAGTGCCAAACAGTGTTCAAACAGTGCCAAACAGTGTACTATACAGTAAAATTTACCCCTCAATAACTTTTTTCCCTTAAATCTTGACAAGTCAAACCGTGTCAAACAAATAGAAACGGAGGGAGTATTACTTTGCCTAAATATTGTGTCAACTAGTATTATATTATAGCGAACATTTTATAGGGACGAAGAATTTACTTGATCAATTTTTTTTTGTCGAATTAATTGTATTATCTGTATTTGGTACTACCTCCGTCCCACTAACATTGGGACAAGAAAATGTGGCACGATTATTAAGAAAAGTGAGTTTGTGTGGTTGATATTAAATTAATAAATTAAAAATAAAGTAAAATGATTTAGAACCACACAAACTTTACCAAATTTGATATGAGACAATTTTAGTGTGATTTCCCGAAAAGGTAAAATGGGATAATCTTAGGGAAATACTATTTTTTCATGCTTTAGTTATTTGCAATTTTGGCCCACTGAATAAAAATTCCATCGTCGCAAAAGGCTAGTTCACCACCCTACCTCTAACAGGCTCGAAGTAGCCAATCACATGGGCTGTGAAAGTTGGGGCCCTCTTCCTCCCTGAGGAAATTTGGATCATCTTAAACCGTCGGCCTAGTCGCTCCGAAATCAACGGTTGAATTTCTCTGTATTAGGGTTTCCGAGCATTCTGGAAGTTGAGATCCCAGATCTTTGGTGGGTATAAATAGTCGCGTTTAGGAGGCACCCTACTTCTATCAAGCTTAACACTCCACAGTCTTCAGTTAATTATTACACGGACGCTAAACGTAGAGGAAAGCAATGGCCGGAAAGGGTGAAGGACCGGCCATCGGGATTGATCTAGGAACAACTTACTCCTGTGTCGGAGTCTGGCAACACGATCGTGTGGAGATTATCGCGAACGACCAAGGAAACAGAACCACGCCGTCCTATGTTGCTTTCACTGACAGCGAGCGTCTCATTGGCGATGCCGCCAAGAATCAGGTCGCCATGAATCCTACGAACACTGTTTTTGGTAAGATTTTACCCCTTCGTTTCCTCTCATGTAGATGTCAGCGTGTTTCCATATTTTTTCTCTATTTGTGTTTATCAGGTGGTACTTGAGCATTCTCGGTTTACTTGCCACCCATATTTTGTTGTTTTTAGTGATTTTTAACTTTTGTATCTTAACCGTCTGATCGGGTTTTCAAACAATTGTTGATTTTTGAAAGATGCGTCGTGTTTACATATTTTGTTTTGCTTTTCCTTAAATTTCATCTTGTTCACAAACTTCAATGGGTTTTATTTACGGATTCTTGGTTTGGAGACAGTTAAAGGAGCTCTAATATGCTCATCTCTTAAACGGGTATTTTCCCGTATGATCATTTACAAAGAATATTCCTAAATGGAAAGCGTTTGTGTAGAATCTACTCGTATTGCTGGTCTTAGTTACATCATTTTGTTATTTTAACAGTACCAAGTCAATAAAATGAGCTGCAGTCTGCACCCGTGCTTTTTTTTCTACCAGTAGTGGAAGGCTTTATTCAAATTTTAAGTAATTAGGAATTCATATGAAAAACTTTGCCTGTTTACTCTGTCTACGTAAGGTACCAGTATGCAAAGATAGACGCTTATTGATGGTTTTTATTTAATTGTTAAATAAATTGTTAAATTCCTTTTGGTCATGTATCCAATTCATTAAATTTTCTATATTACTCGCTAATGCAGACGCAAAGCGATTGATTGGTAGAAGATTAAACGATGCAACTGTGCAGAGTGACATAAAGTTGTGGCCATTTAAGGTCATTGCTGGTCCTGCTGATAAGCCCATGATTGTTGTCAACTACAAAGGTGAAGAGAAGCAGTTTGCTGCTGAAGAGATATCTTCAATGGTGCTCATCAAGATGAGAGAGATTGCTGAGGCTTACCTGGGTTCAACGGTGAAGAACGCAGTTGTCACTGTTCCTGCCTACTTTAATGATTCTCAGCGTCAGGCAACCAAGGATGCCGGAGTCATAGCTGGTCTTAATGTTATGCGTATCATTAATGAACCTACTGCTGCTGCCATTGCTTATGGTTTAGACAAGAAAGCCACCAGTGTTGGTGAGAAGAATGTATTGATCTTTGATCTTGGTGGTGGAACCTTTGATGTATCCCTACTTACCATTGAAGAGGGTATCTTTGAGGTAAAGGCAACCGCTGGTGATACCCATCTAGGTGGTGAGGATTTTGACAACAGAATGGTCAATCACTTTGTTCAGGAATTCAAGAGGAAGAACAAAAAAGACATCACAGGAAATCCTAGGGCACTTAGGAGGTTAAGAACATCTTGTGAGAGGGCGAAACGTACACTTTCATCCACTGCCCAGACCACAATTGAGATTGACTCCCTCTTTGAAGGCATTGATTTTTACTCCACCATCACGCGTGCCAGATTTGAAGAACTGAACATGGACCTCTTTAGAAAGTGCATGGAGCCTGTGGAAAAGTGCTTGAGGGATGCTAAGATGGACAAGAGCAGTATTGATGATGTTGTTCTTGTGGGTGGGTCTACTAGGATTCCAAAGGTTCAGCAACTGCTGCAGGACTTCTTCAATGGCAAAGAGCTCTGCAAGAGCATCAATCCTGATGAGGCTGTTGCCTATGGTGCTGCAGTGCAAGCTGCCATCTTGAGTGGAGAGGGTAATGAGAAGGTTCAAGACTTGCTTCTCCTGGATGTCACCCCGCTTTCTCTTGGTTTGGAAACTGCGGGTGGGGTGATGACTGTCTTGATTCCGAGAAATACAACCATTCCAACAAAGAAGGAACAGGTGTTCTCCACCTACTCTGATAACCAGCCTGGTGTGTTGATTCAGGTGTATGAAGGTGAAAGGACGAGGACGCGTGACAACAACTTGCTTGGAAAGTTTGAGCTCTCTGGCATCCCTCCTGCCCCAAGGGGGGTACCACAGATCACAGTCTGCTTTGACATTGATGCAAATGGAATCTTGAATGTCTCAGCTGAGGACAAGACCACTGGACAGAAGAACAAGATCACTATCACCAATGACAAGGGGCGCCTCTCCAAGGATGAGATTGAGAAGATGGTTCAGGAGGCGGAGAAGTACAAGTCGGAGGATGAAGAGCACAAAAAGAAGGTGGAGGCAAAGAATGCCTTGGAGAACTACTCTTACAACATGAGGAACACCATTAATGATGACAAGATTGGGTCTAAGCTTTCTGCAGCTGACAAGAAGAAGATTGAGGATGCCATTGAGGCAACCATCCAGTGGCTGGAGGGGAACCAGCTGGCAGAGGCAGATGAGTTTGAGGACAAGATGAAGCAGCTGGAGAGCACTTGCAACCCAATCATTGCCAAGATGTACCAGGGTGATGGTGGCGGCATGGGAGGGCCAGACATGGAGGACGATGTCCCCCCCACTAGTGGAAGCACCGCTGGCCCCAAGATTGAGGAGGTCGATTAAGTTTTATCAAGGTGTTGCCCTGCTGTGTTGTGTTTTGGTCATTCATTGTTTTCTCAAGTCCCTTTAGGGATCCTATCATTCTTGATTAATTATGGTGATGAACTTTTTGTACCTGTTTTGTTTCATATGCTCCCTTTAGGGGTATAAATATTTTGTTTGCAGAAAAAACATTTTTCTTGCTGCTAATTTTTCTAGTAGCAATGTTTCAAATGCTCCCTGTAGGGATTACTAAGATCTTATAAAACATCGAAGTAAAACCCTCTGTGTCCAAAAAGTACTCAATTAAACTTGAGTTATTAAATATCTGTTTTAAAAAAAGTCATTAAATAATCTGCACTTTAGTAGTTTAAAGTAGTCACCAGCAGATGCTCTGTTATTTGGTTACTAGACTAAATACCCGTGCGATGCACGGATATCTAGAATACAATAACGTGTTTAACATTATGTTATATTATGATGATATGCAATGTGTAATTTTTTTCAAATAAAAAAGACAATAGAGTTTATATGTTGTGAATTTGACTATATTATAGTAGTTTGCTAGAAAAGGAAAATTCGGATGAAACATTGCCAAGTACAGTTAAAGAAAAAAATGACAGGGTGTAGCAATATAAGCTCTATGAGATAATAAAATAACATGATATTACAACTATTAGTGTGTCCCATGCAACTTTATAAAATATATACATCTTGACAATGTACAAAAAGTATTATAAATATTTAGAAACTTATTTATGAACCATACTATTAGTGTTGTTGATAGAACAACTATATTTAGCACATATAAGAATTTTCAACTCACTTCTTGAGGTGACTCTTGATGTGGCAATGCAAAATTGATCACGCGTAAAAACATATTTTCGATAGTATATGCTCACTTATTAGAGAGATTGTCTTTAACTTTTCTATCATAATGACAAATGAAATAAGGATTGAAAATTCCTTGCATTGAAATTTGAAAGAAATTTTGTTATATGACGTTACTACTAATGATAATCATGGATTTAAAACCTTCTTAACCAATACCTTTTCAAATATTACCTTTACCTCCAAAATAAAATTACACAACCAAGTAATAATCATGTGAGTCCCTAGTGCATTGATGATGTTCAAACACTCTTGCGTGTGCACTTCATTGAATTCAGTACTAATGTTGCTTTCAAGTGAATATGGGCTGTCAAAACTCAATATGTCTTTTATGGGTGCCAAAATAGCTTTTTACTAAACATATGACGAACCATTCATATCATAATAACTAATGGGGTCACCTGAAGAGGTAATAAAATATTGACATCTTTATAAAATAAAGTTAACTATGAAATTATAGCAATTAACTAAAATGGTAACACTAAATGTTTAGTTTAATAGATTTCTACAATTAAAACAACTGAGCATTCTCCCTATATGTTCACTATTTTGGTATTGCTTTTTTTTTTTGAAAAACTATTTAGGTATTGCTTAATCGCAAACTTTGCTCATAATGAACACTTTATCTTATTGCCCGTGGAATAAAAAGTTCCCATGCTTAAAATTCTAAACAATTATATTTCTTTCATTATTATTCAATCTTGATTAATGTTATATTATTCATTTCATAATATTCAGGTGGAAACCCCTACTTTTATCTTGATATAATATAAAGTAGATTTTTTATCAAAGATGAAAAAAAAAGATATATTATATATATATTATATTAATTAAACTATCATTTTTTTACTAAAAAATTAATAAAGATGTTGCTAAATTTGAAGTTAACACTTTTAGACTCAATTGTGATGATTATTTTAATTTAGTAAATTTTGTTACTAAGAATATTTTTACTTGGACTGTAATTTGTTAGTCTGGTCTGATCTGGTCTGGTATTGTCTGGTCTCTTTGTATTTTTAGAACTATATCCAAGTCTGGTCTGATCTGATTTGATCTGGTCTGGTTAGAGACAGATTACAGTCCAAATGAGAACATCCTAAATTGGTAGGTATGAAAAAGTTCCGTAACTAAAAAATAATTCATCAAATACGTAATAATTTTGATCTGCTCGGTGATCGTTTTTTTCAACTTATCACCTTCATTACTCATTAGTCAACTTTTTCACCAAATACGTAATAATTTTTTCACTGGCTGAGATACGTAGTAATGAAAATAACTAAGATTGAAATTGTTTTTCTGGCTAGATTGACTAAAGTTACTGTAGAAAATCATTTTGGTTATTTTTCAAATAATATTTTCTTTATTTTATTAATAACATATATATATTAAATATAATTTTTCATAAATTAAACAGAACCAGTCAATCCAGTTACTTAATCTAGAGCTTCATAAATTTCAGCAGAATCAACTGAATCAGTCTATTTCAGTTTATCAAACGGCCGCCTCATATTTTATTATCTTTTTGGGCGGAAATTTTGGGCCCAAAACTTATACTACTACTTATGCTATTTTATACTTCGAATTATATATAAATAAATTTAATAAAATTCTTATTATTATTATTGTTATTATTGTTCTTATTATTATTTGTATGACTATAGTGGTAGGAAAATATAAAAGAATATCTCTATATTTGATATTATTACATAAATATCAATATCACTTATAGAACACATGAGCGATAAATTCTATTACTAAATTAGAAATGTAACCATATGTAGAGCCTGAATGATGCTCGTGTTTTTCGGCTTATTATCATCTTCATTAGTCAACTCTTTTACCAAATATGTAATATTTTTTTCTTAGTAATCCAAATAACTAAGATTAAAGTTGTTTTTTATTGCTGGATTAATAGTATTTATTGTAGAAGAACATTTTAGCTATTTTTCAAATGTTTTTTTTTACTTTTTTAATAACATATATTTAAATATAATTTTTCGTAACTCAACAGAATCAGTCAATCCAGCTACTTAATCTAGAACTTCATAAATTTCAGCAGAACCAATTGATTCAGCCTATTTCATTGGTCATTCAATGCATTGCCAAATTTAATTTTCTCATTAATTCTCTATTATGTCTTCATTTTGGACGGGAGTTTTCCCTCCAATTGTTGTCCAAACACGGTTACTTTAAATTATATAAAGATTTTTTATATGGGGTATATTCAATATTGGTATCATATGAAAGATAATAAAAAGTTATTAATGTTGATATATTTATTGTAACAATCGAGAGGAAGCGGTCCAGCCCAACTGGTCGCCGACTCACTCTCCCTTATGGGAGGTCCCGGGTTCAATTCTCAATGTAGTGAGATTAATCCCAATTTACCCCAGACCCCCCCAAACCCCCCTCCCCCTGACGCCCCCTGGGGTGAAGAAAAAATTATAAAAAAATATTTTAACAATCGAAGTAGAAATAAAAAAAATTACAATACTTTAAAAATTTGAGATTTTACTTTGGTGAGATCCATGACTGATTTTTCCGTTGTGACTTTTTAAAAAACCTGCGTTAGTCACTTATTTATGATTAATGTTCATTCAATGCATTACCAAATTTAATTTTCTTATTAAATCTCTATTATGTCTTCATTATGGCGGGATTTTTCCCTTCAATTGTTGTCCAAACACTTGTACTTTATATTATATAAAGATAAAGATTCAAGTAATAAATATATATTACTTGAGTGGTTATTTTTTTTGTTTTCCATAATTTTTGTTTGAGAGTGTTTTTTCCATAATTAAAAAATGTGTAATGACTAATTATTTCTTATAAGGTATTGAAAACAAAAGGAAAGTAAGAATAGTTATACATGTATTGCTCTCCATCTATAAGTAAGTTATTTAAGACACCTTCATTAGCGACAAATGCTCTATTAATGTAAAGATGTTTTATTTAAGGCACATACTACTCCGTACGTATTACACATGGAATTCTAGATTAATTCGAAGGTGCACACTTTACAGTTATGCCTTTCATTTGGGCGGGATTTTTGCCTCCAAAAGTTGAAGCAACTTTGCTACTTTATATAATATAAAGATACGTTTGCTTATGTGAAAGTCTCCTATGTGTTGTATTGTTTTCTTATTGGCTCAGGCTCATGGCCTCGTGCTGTCTCTCTATGAGCTTGCTCCTTCGCCTTCGGCTCCGCACCATTACGGGTGTCTTACCTATCACTCTCTTAGTCTCTTATACTCCCTCTGTCCCGGAAAATTGTTCCGCACTGACTTGGAACGAATATTTAGGAAAGTTAAAAAAAACCTTTGACTTTCCCTAAATGCCCCTGAAATGAAAAAGAAAGGTTCGAATGGGGGGAGCTGCCGCAGGGGGAAAAAATTTACTGCCCATCCATCATTAGTTGCTTTACACTGTTCATGATCTGAAATGTTACAACTACTAATTCAGCCTACTCTTTGGTGTTTCCTACACCACAAATTCCCCCCAACATTTCCCTCCCTTTTTTGGGAAAGTATCTAAACAACCCACCTATTAATACACATTCTGAAAACAACAAACCACAACACACTTACACACATTACGCGTTGCATTCATGGCTGCACACAGCAGTGGCGGGCAGAGCTATTCCTCCCCCACAACATGTTCTTCTCCACCTGCATTTATTGATGTGGAGGCTTCCTCCCCCATTGCATCTTCTCCAGCCACATTTATTGATGTGGATGCATCAACTGGAGTAAATGAGCTCCCCCTGCACACACCAAAAAATGACCAAAGCTCAAATATCAAAGCAAAAAGACACCAAAACATTGAAAGACAAAGTAAAAGAAAAGATTCTGGGGAGGTCACAGCTCAGAAAGGTGTTCTAAGTCAGCTAACCACTAAATATTCAGTGACACGAAAAAGTATTTCCAAGACCTGGAGCAAAGCTAAAGAGCAGATTGAGAAGGGGGAAGCTATAGATGTAAAAACCAAGTGGCTGGGGAATTCAGGCAGAAAAAGGGTGTTGTTTCATGTAACCAACATATCAAAAATCCCTTTGCACAAAAGGACTAACATAAGGGCACTTGCTTCAGCCAGTTCAATTTCAAAGTCAGTTATTCACAGATTGGTTCAGAGAGGCGCGATTAGCTCATACAAATGCTATTAAGCCTTTGCTAAATGATGAAAATAAAATGCAGAGACTAAGTTTCTGTTCAAGCCAAATAGACAAATCCATAGCCTCTAAACCAGTGTTCAAGACTTTCCATAATGTCATACACATTGATGAGAAATGATTTTTCTTGTCAAACACTTCACAGAGGTACTACATGGGCCCAGATGAACTGGATCCACACAGGGTATGCAAGTCTAAGAGATTCATTACCAAGGTTATGTCACTAGGAGTTGT